CCTGATAGAAACCTATTAACTCACAAGCTGTTGTTCTTGTTAGGTTGAAGGAATCCTTGGTTATCAAAGCAGTATAAAAAGCTTTGAAGCCTTCCTCTTCCTCCTGTCCAATTAACCTTTTCACACTGTCAAATTAATATTTTGATATGGCTACTTGTAAGCCCTTGACAGTTCCCAGCTATCCTATAGTTTTCAAAATTCTTCTTGAAATCATAACCTGTAACTGTGCTCTGAAATCCATTATGCTTTTAAATTCTATTTCCATCTTCTCTTAAGGTCTTGTTAAGGCTTCTGCATATAACTTCCCACGCTTACCTCTGGGTCCCAAATTTCTCATCACCAGACATTAGTCACACTCATACCGAAAGTCTCAAATCTTACTTAAACAATAAGTTACAGAAAGCTTTGGCATGACTCACAATATCAGGAGTTTCTTCTGAAAGCAGAACTTAATACTTTAAGATTAATTTTCATGCCCAATAGTTCACACAGTCTCCAAACAAAAGAGAGGTTGTCATCAATATTCTGTGGAAATGATGGGCTTCCCAGTTCTTGATAATCAAAACCAAGAAGTTTATGCATTTAAGTTTAATGAATAGAGATGACCTTTTTCCCATTGAAAAGTAATGTACTGAGAATATAAATATATATTCTATGACAGTGATGGCAAACCTTTTAGAGACCAAGTGCCCAAAAACTGCCCCGCCCCCACTCTACCCCCTGCCCCGCCCCTGCTCCACCCCCATCCAATCCCCCACCCTGCCTGCAGGGCCATTCATCGCCTCCAGGGTCCGTCGCAGATCGCCCAGGCAGCCCAGCAGCACCATGGTGGCCACGGCCTCTGCCCGCATCCCGCAGCATCAACCGAGCAGGATGGGGCGTGAGAGCAGAGTCTTGTCTACGCTGCCTGGTTGCCATGTCCTTGACTGCGCTCTCCGTGTGGGCCACGCTCAGGGGCGACTATCCTCCAGGGGGGCTGCTGGTGAGGGGGTCGTGGAGGGAGGCAAGGCTGGAGCAACAGCACATGTGCCCACAGAGAGGGCTCCGAGTGGCTTTTCTGGCACGCGTGCCATAGGTTCGCCACCACTGTTCTATGAAAATATAAATGTTTCCACTTAAATTTAAGTATAAGGATCCATTAATATATGCATAGTAAAGTAGAAGAATAACATTTCTGGAAAATTATAATATGAGAAATGGAGGAAGATAAGAAAGAAAAAAGAAAAATGCTTTAAACAAAATCAACGTATTTCCTTAGCATTCTTTTTTGACTGAAAGATATTTCCTACTCTGGAAATATCAAGTATGATTGTTTATTAAAAGGTCATTATGTTCTGTGTATTGTATTTAAATATGGTTGATTCATACACAAAAGCATTGAAAAACATTTCTATAGAATATCAGAATAAGTTTTAAATACAACATATGGGTTTAATATGAATTAAATATATCAGATCATCTGTCAGTGATATATTGAATTTAGAACTCACATGATTCTATATAATTTTTTTAAAAAAACCCTTTGTATTATTTGTCCATTTGTGGCTCTCAAAAAGAGACTGACAGGGCCAGGAGAAGTTTCTTAGATGTTCTCTATTGTCTTATGAAAATAGGAAAATCATTTTTTTTCTTTTTAGCTTAATCTCCACAGAGATAAAGGAATACTGTCCATCCCACTGTAAAAATAAGAATAAGCATACTTAGGGATATACAGTTAGATAATACTTGGAATAAGAATAGAAAAATAAAATAAGAATAGAATAACAGAGTTGGAAGCGACATTGTAGGTCATCTGATCAAAATCCCTGCTCAAGAAAGAGACTCTACATCAGGGGTTCTCAATCTTGGCCACTTTAAGACTTGTGGACTTCAACTCCCAGAATTCCTCAGCCAGCTTTGCTGGCTGAGGAATTCTGGGAGTTGAAGTCCACAAGTCTTAAAGTGGCCAAGATTGAGAACCCCTGCTCTACATACACCATTTCTGACAGTCCAGTCTCTTCTTGAAAGCTTCCAGGGATGAAGCTCCCACAACTTCTGAAGGATGAGCAGGCAGTGATCACAGCACAGGTGGCTAGATTCTGTGCAGCAGCATTGGGGGTTCACCAGAACCATAAATAAACATTTTAGATCTTTTTAATAATCTTTTTATAATTAATTTTATTACGTGTTTTTATCCAGCATTAGACTATACTTAATGTATTTTTATTGTCAGGTCAGTATGATTCGGTTTTTTCTGAAGGTAGCTAGTTTTTGTTATACTGTCTGTAAAACTAGGCAGACCTTGGTCACCCATTGATTAGATCATTAATTGTAATATATTGCTAGGTCTTCTTGTGTTGGTTCTGTTTAGTTTTGTTTTATCTGAATGTTTAATTTATGTGTTGGCCTTTGGCTGTAATAATAAATTGATTGATTGATTGACTGATTGATTCTGAAGGCAATTTGTTCCATTGGTTGATTGATCTCACTGTCAGAAAATTTCTCCTTATTTCTAGGTTGAATCTTTCCTTGATCATTTTCCATCCATTATTCCTTGTCTAGCCTCAGGTGCTTTGGAAAATAGGTTGACCACCCCCCCCTCTCTATGACAGCCTCTCAAATATTGGAACACTGATATCATGTGTCCCCTCGTCCTTCTCTTCACTAGATTAGCCATGCCCAGTTCCTGTAACTATTCTTCATATGTTTTAGGTTTCAGTCCCCTAATCATCTTTGTTGCTCTTCTCTGCGCTTTTTTTTAAGAGTCTCAACATCTTTGTTATAGTGTGGAGACCAAAACTGGATGCAGTATTCTAGGTGTGGTCTTACTAAGGTCTGGGAAATAGCATCATTAAATAATAAATAAAATAAATTTTAGAAAGTTGAAGGTACCATCAATGTTGTATTTCAATTCATTCCCTTTGGAAAATAGCTTTTGTAGTCTTTCAAATTGTTTTAAAATCCTAGCAACTTGGTTACCTAGAGTTCATAATGGGACAAAGTAAATGAATGTGTATACCAGAACAATTAAGTTTTCCTATCAGTTCATTGTTATACTTTTTAAAAACATATGGCTTTTCTTTTCCATAGTTCATCATATTACCCAGATTTTATTCACATTTTATTCTTATAAAATCTGGTTTGAGAAGCCAAATAATTTATATCATGTTAAGGATTCCCTCATTCCTTTCATATGCCAAATCAGGTGAGCATCTTTCATGTCATAAGGCAATATAGTACTTTGTCTCTAACAAGTACAAACTTATAAAACCAGAATGAACTTCACAAAGAGAAAGCAAGAGGAGCATTGCAAGTCCAGTATTGAGTTGCCTGCAGCAAATTGCAGAAACAGAAAGGAATTTACCTTCACTGTCATGTGAGTAGATTTCCATTGGTGCAATAAAAATATTCTTTACTTTTCTTTTAAGTCTATCCCTCTAATCTGCTCAGGAGGGTTTCCCAATGAGGAAGGAACATTCAGGACAGTTTACTAATTCTGCCCATTCTACTGGCAGACAGTCTCAACAGGACACAATTTAGGGAACTGAATAGATTGAGATATAGAACAGACTGATACTGTAGGTACTGTACACAGAGAAAGAATGCAGAATCAGACATACAGACATGTGAGAAAAAATGTTGATATATTTTCAGACCTGAGCACTTTTCAATAGCACAGCTGAAAAACAATGTCAGTCTAGACTACTGTTGTGTATATAAACTATTTAATAAAAAGTAAATTCTCCAAGAAGTCACAGGACTAGGATCCTGCACAATTAGATTACAGATTTCTAAAAGCTATTTACTTGCATTGTCTCCTAGATGCTAGGCTTTCACTTAACTGAGGAACCATTGAATCACAGGCTATTTGCAGACATTTGCTTGGAATGTGTCCATAAAATAGGGTATTGTATCCTTTTATAATTTCATAACACATTTAATTGGATCTGATCTATTAAAAACAAAACACAATCCAATGCAGTATTCTCTGAAAGCAGACAGTGGAATTCACAGAAGTAACACATGTAATCTATATTTTCCTTTAATCTATATTTCTTTTCCTTCCCACAAAAAGAAAATGCAGATTTTAGTGTAGATGTTATTCAGAGAATTTTTGATACAGAACAAAACTATTTGTCATTTAAATGTTAAAACCAAAATGTATTACTTTAATTCATGTAAGGAAAAAGAAGGAATCTCAATCACATTGAGCAAATGATAATACTTGGATACATATGACATCATATACATGGAGTATTTGAATAAATAAGAAAAGAAAATGGTAGTATTGTGAAATGCATGTGGACATAGTGATAACAAAAGTAACACATCAATGTTTATTAAGAAAAATAAAATGCATTTATTATACATTACAAAAAATCATTGATGACACAAGAATGAACTTATGAGTAGATGATCCTAGAGACTGACGCATCAGAAATTATTGAGCAGCAGTAAAGGAAGGAAGATTATCAAAGTGTGTCATGAAACGAGGAGATTGATCCAATAGATTTTAAAAACTTGTTTATATCATGCCTGTCAATGCTGCTGACATCGGATGTTCTTGCTTTGACAACAGATGGAAATATAGCCATCTTTTCTCTATCACTTTTAGACTTCGTTGATGCTGAGAGGGGGAATGTGGATGAGAGTCCAGCTAGTCATAACAATAATAACTCAACCTAAGGTTATTAGGTCCAGAGTTATTAGGTCCAGAAATTTGGCAGGCAGGAGAGATGGGGAGAAAGCCCGCACCTCAAATTAATTGGGGAATGTGATTTATGACAGTTAATTGGAGGAGGGAATTGTGCCAGGGGAGGGGAATTCAGTTTTTGGCTTCAACTATGTAGTGCCAATACTTTGTTTCTCGAATAAAAGATTATTTAAGAAAAACAATGCCTCGAAGTTCTTTTGAAGAGATTCATCTGTCGAACCCTGACAATGCCATTGTTAAGACAGTTAACAGTGATTTGATGGCAACTACTTAATTTACTGCAATAAAAGCAACAAAGGATATTATGGCAATTTAAGGAAATTTTTTTATTGCTTAAAGTTTTCAAGATGCTAATCCCTTTCACCAGATGCATGCAGTACACAATATTTCAGAAGGAAGTATTACATATTCATTAATTTAGGATGAACAAGGGAAATATTAGCTCATAATGTAATGCAGTATAGGAACTGCAGGCAATGAAAATAGACAGTCATTAATAAATCAGTGGTTGATCATGATGAATATATTCTTAATAAGTTGTTTTAGAAGATTTTCCTTAATATTCAACCAAAATCTTTCTTTCTGACAGTTAAATCCATTTTTCCTCCCCTACATTTTGGAACAAGAGATCCCACATTCTTCTGTAATGTTATTTCACATACATCTCCCTCCTACACCATTCTTCTCTTCTTAAGGCTAAACATTGCCAATCATTCAATGTCTTTTCACAGGATTTAGTTTCTGGCATTCTAGTCATTCTTGTTGCTTTTTGCTCTATTACAGTGATGGCGAACCTTTTAGAGACCAAGTGCCCAAAAACTACCTCACCCCTGCACTGCCTCACCCCTGCCCCGCCCCCCCCACCCGCAAGGCCACCCATCGCCACGGCCCACTGTAGATTGCCCAGGCAGCCCAGCAACACCATGGTGGCCACGCCCTCCACCCATGCCTCCCATCAACTTTTTGCGACAGTGCACAAAGGCAGAGTCTTGTCCCCACTGCCCAGCTGCCATGTCCTTGGCTGCGCTGTTCGAAGCGAGCTGTGCCTGGGGGCGACTCTCCTCCAGGGGGGCTGCTGGTGTGGAGGGGGCCACGGGGGAGGCAAGGCTGGGGCAACGGCACGTGTGCCCACAGAGAGGGCTCCGAGTGCCATCTCTGGCACTCGTGCCATAGGTTTGCCAACACTGCTCTATTAGTTCAAATTTGTTTGAACTCTCCTTAAAGTGTGGTGCTCTGAACCGGACTCAAGGGACCTGCTCAATATAGAATAATGCAACACTATTACTTTTCATTATTAAAAACTACTTAAAAGCTTCTCTTCAGGCAGCCAAAAATTTCATTTGCCTTTTCGTAGTCACATCACCCTTCTGATTACATTAAATCGATAATCAACTACTATTCCAAGATTTTTCTCACCAGTACTAATTTGTGGAGAATTATCCTCCATCTTTCACCTATGCATTTGATTTCTGTTTTCTAAGTGAAAGATTTTGCATTTCATTCTGTGGGGTTTCATTCTGTTATTTTCAGCTCACTGTGGAAAAATATATAAAGTGAATACTGAACTATAACCGGATATGCATGAGAGTTTGTTTGATGACTCTGAGCAGAAATGATTGTATATTGGTATTGTCTGCTATATTCTAAAGTTTAAAGCAAGCAAATATTCACAATCAATCGATTGACAAGATCTTGAGAGATTTCACACAAGAATAAATCTTGCAAAATCTGACTAAAGTATCTCATGAATTCTGGGATTTGTTAGTTTATTAGACATCATCAAAAGAAGACATATAGAATATAGAACAAGAGTTGGAAGGGACCTTGGAAGTCTTCTAGTCTTCATCCATGTTTACTGTATTGCAGCCCACCTTCCCAAGTGAGATGCCAGAATAACTTTCTCAAGGTACATTTTGTGCATTTGGGAGAAAATTCTTCAGAAAGTCTTATAATTCCTTTTGGTATTCTTCACTATCTGTACCACCATCTGTACCTCAATACCTCTAAAATGAGGTATTGAAGCACTGTTTCAATAATCCAGCTTGCTTATGGTCATGAGTACTCCTCCTTTATCCACTTTATCAAGAGAATATATTGTTTTTGATATTCTAGATGGCTCAATCTTTTGCAAGCTTAAGAGGCATGAGGTAATAATGCCGTTTGCTAAATAACTGTCTGAATATGACAGAATTTTATATAAAACGGAGCAAATGCAAGTGGCAATGCCACCTGGGGGAATTTTGAACTAATTTTTATCCCATTAACAGATTTTTTTATTTTTAGTAGCTTTGTGGAAAACAAGAATCAGGAAAAACAGCTGGTTTTGAGATGAACACGTGCGTTAGAATAACTTCTGGTTAGGAATAACTTAAGAAAGCAATCAGACGGAGGTGACTCTGAGAATATTTCCAAGCCCAGCAATCAGCATCATCCCACATCTTGGATATTCCCGGGGTTGAACCGAATCTGAAATCTGTATGACCCCCTTGATTGTAGTGTTACTATAGAGTTTGAGAATCATGATCCGCATGCCTGAAGACGAAGCTTCCTCCTTTGAATAGAGCAACACGCACTTAAACTTGAGGTGCAAATAAGCGCGCTCTTCCTATGAAAAATCTGAAAAAAAAAATGAACAGAAATTTAGTCGAGCTATAAATGGACAATCTCATTTCTCTGGAGGGAAAAAAAGGAAAGGACGTTCTTGCAACTGATAATGCAATGCAAAATAGTTGTGTGGGTGTGCGTTAGTGCGTGCGTTTTGCTTTTAAATAAATGAAAACTGCTGCCACTTTCAGTGGCTCCGATGAGGCTGAGGACATCAGCCCCCTTTTGCCGGCGGAACCTGCGGTTTATTTTCCTGTTTATATGGAAAGGTGAAAGCCGAGCAGGAAACGCAGTTCCAATTCGATGCATAACACCGTTTAAGTTGCAGCAGAGGCGACGCGTACTTCAACTTTCAACCTTCCGAAGCGCCTTCTGTTTCACTGGGAGTAAAAGCAAACGCAAGTGCACGGGAGCGATGGAAACTACGAACGCATTCATTCACCTTACTGCAACTTCGTATTGCTGCCTGCAGGAGGAAGTGGCGGAGACACGTTGGCGCCCAGGTTGAGTCCTCTTCCCTGTTTCCTATGGTTAATTCTCTGTTGGGCAACATGAAACATGGCGTCCAAACTCACTCCGGAAGTTGAGCACTGCGGGTTGGTTCTACACGCCAGTAGTCTATGCCTCCGCTCACGTTGCTTTCATCCCCCGTGGTGGAGAACACTGAGCGGCGCCGAACGCGCGCGAACGTTTTCGCGCGCCGCTTCCACCGGCTCTACGCTTGCGGAGCGCCTGACGCGCGCGTCCTGAGCCGCAAGCGAAGCGCGCGCCCGTCGCTTTTAGCCGCCTTGGTTCGTTCGGCGCTAAAGGCTTTAATTAGGAAGGAGACGCAACATGGCGATCGTACCCGGGCAGGTGCTGCGGGTCGCCATTCTCCTCTCCTATTTTTCCATCCTGTGCAATTACAAGGCCATTGACATGCCAGCGCACCAGACCTATGGAGGCAGCTGGAAATTTCTGACGTTCATTAACCTGGTAAGTAACCTTTCCCGCCACTGCCTTCTCTTCCTCGCGATATGAGGATGTGATCCCATGTCCCGGGCAAGGAGAGGGGCTGCGCTCCCCGTTCAAGGCTTCCTTTGCGCTCCCCGGGGACGAGGCTTCCTTTGCGTGGAAGAATTGGTGACGGGCAGCGCTTAAGAGGAGGTGCTGTGAAGGAAGACCTTGTTCATTCGCACCATCGTTTTTAAAGAAAGAAGAAAGGCATCTCGGTCGCAACGGGTGTCATCTGAAGATGTCTGTTCATTAACTACGCAAATGGTCAGTGCTAGGGAAGAGAGTGAAATATATTAGGATTATTGGCTACCCCCACATTTAGCAATAGCGATACAAGGCACTTTTCCAAAAATGATATCCGTACGGAGAAAAAGAATTACAGGTAGCTACTGAGAGGATAGCAACCCCAATGAATGACATTATTGTACATTATATTGTTTCCCAAGCAACGTGCTTTTCCAAGAAGCAGTTTTTCAGTTTAAAAAGGTTGGCTAGTTTCTTTTCTTTAGAATTGCCACATATTTTGTGAATATACAAAACATCACTTACATTCTAACTATGCTTGATTATTATCGGTTCACAATAATGCTAATTCACAGTTACCAGTTCTTTAGCTGGTATTGGCCTTCTTACAGTACATATCAATTCTTGCCAAGGACCTAGAATGTTGTAATGGCTTAATATATATGTGAATCCAAGCAACTTGGCCTTTTGCAATTGACAGTGGAAACTTGCTTCATTGTGAAAGTTTTCTAAGTGCTGGCCAAGAATTTTTTTTTTTATTGAAAATTTTCTAAATTTTACAAGACAAATCCCCTCCCCAAACCCCCCCCACCCTCCCATACTCTCCCCCAGCTCCCCAAACCTCCCTAACCCTCCCCCGGCCCTCCCAGAGTTGATTACAGGCTTATCCAAAATGTTTCAAAAAAAAGAAAAGAAAAAGTTAAAACACATATAAATCCTAAACAAATCTAAATACCTTAAATTAAACAAATTATCTTCTCTAAAAAAAAAATTATCCATCATTCCATATAAACTCCTTCCAAAACACAATTTTAAACACTACTTTCTTTGAACATCTATACCTACAATATAAAATCTAATATAAATCATAAACAAATCTGAATACATTTAGTTAAACAAGTTATATTCCCTCCAAAACACAAATTTAAACATTACTTAATAATAATAATTAAGAAAAACCCAAACACTAAACACATTGTAGTACACTTCAAACCTTTTGATATCATACTGATATTATCATTCTTTATAAACTCCCTCCAAAACACAAATTTAAACATTACTTAAGACTTAAAACATTAAAATTCCCTTATACACAGTTAAATCTTTATCAATAACAAATTCCATCCACAATAAACACATTAAACATTTAAATCTTCACCAATAACAAATTCCATCCACGAGAAACACAGTCCTTATCAGTCTCAATTGTCCATTTTCATTCTCCATCCCATCAGTCTCAATTTCCATTTTCCATCTTTATCAATCTCTAATTTTCATTCTCCGTCCTTATCCTTATCAAGCTCGAGAGAAATGCTTTGAGATCTGCATTTAAAGATTGCTCCAAAGTTCCTAAATCTCCCAACGACTCAGAAGCCAATACATGTGAGGATTCCTTAAACTCCTTATTCTGTTGGTCTTTACAATTATATGTTGCACGAGTTGTCCTCTGCCCCTTCCTCTCAGCTTGTTGAAACCCCTCAAGCTGAAATTTCCCATTTGCCATTTCTTCAGACAACAATTCCACGCTTGAAGATTGCTCCAGAGGCTTTATAAGTCTTGCTTCTCCCACAGATTCAGAAACTACTAGATGTGAGGCCTTAGCCTTCTTCTGTTGCTGCTTTTCTTTACAGTTATGTGCTACACAAGTTATCTTCTGCTCCTCAATCTGAACTTGTTGAGGCCTCTCAAGCAAAGGTTTCTTTTCTTCCAAGGCCTTAAACTTAATAGATGGCGATGAACATACCCCCAGGACCGAAGTATAAAAATCTTTTGCTTGAGAAACAGTATTAAGTCTATAACATATCCCCAGGTAATTCACCACCATTCCAATCGGAACATCCCATCTGAACGAAATTCGTCTCTTTTTAAGTTCATCTGCTAAAAAAGCAAACTCCTTTCTTCTTCTTAAAATTTTAGATGGGATCTCCTTTAAGATTATGACGTCTTGTGAAGCAATTTGAAATCTCTTCTTATAAAAAGCTTGTATAATTTCATTGCGTAGAGATCTTTTCCCAAAGTAAATTACCACATCTCTTGGCAAGTTCTTTTGCACTGCCACCACAGAATTTACTCTAAATAATTTTTCAATTTCACTAAGTATTTCCTCTTTTTCTTTATTCAAAATCACAGCAAAGTCCTTTGCAACCATCTCTTTCAGATCTCCTTGCAAAGACTCTCCCAAGCCTCTAATTCTTAAAGCATATTCCATTTGTCCATATTGAAGCGTAAGAATCTCATTTTCCATTTCTTTTTCCATACTTTCAATTTTTTCCTCCATTAATTCCAGTTTTTCAGCTACCTCTTCCACACGAGAATTCAAATTTTCAAGAACAGAAGCAACTCCTTTTAAAGCCAAAACTATATCTTGTCTCAAAATCTTATTATTTTCCTCTAAAATCTTTTTCACTTCAACCCTAATTTGAATTATAACATTTCCCATCATATCTTGCAAATCCTTCACAATTGTTGGCTGGACCACGGAGGAGGGTGGAACTATTGATTTAGGAGCTGTGGAAGTCCTTGGATGCTTTGGAGCCATCTTAAAAAAAAACAAAACTTTACTCCTTCTTGAAAATTACAAAAATTCCTTCAAAAGAGAATCATAACTCCCTCAAAGGGAGTAAAAAGTAAAAGGAGAGAATATAAGCATGAAAATAAATCTTTAAACTTAAAATGCATATAAAGTCAAAGAAAGCAAAAAGTAAATCCTCTAATCAACTCTGTCCGCTTCTAAAAAAAACTCACCAGATCCCTTTAAACGCGGAGGTGGTTGCAACGGCTTGTTTTGTCCCTAGGGACAAAAGCAGCTGGGAAGCGGAGACAGTCTGAACTCCGTGGGAGCACTCCTCTCAGCCCCCCCAAAAAACCTTGGGGGTGCAAGAGAGTGGCTCTACCACTATTCAGACAACCCTCTTCCCCCCCTTGAACCGCTGAACAGCTGATGTCCGCTGTTCATAGCGATTCATTACACTTACCTAGGAGGACGGCTACAAAGTAGCCGCCATCGCCCGCGCAGATCCACCGGAAGTCCAAGAATTTTTTTTGTTATGGCACACAGCATACCAATTTATTATTAGCCGAAGCTTTCTCCTAGTAGGAAGACATAAAACTATTATTCCAGCAACACTAAAGTACTTGAAATAATATTATATTGCCATAGTTAGCTCTTTCCATTCTGGAGGAACTATCTGAAGTTTTAAAGAATCTTGCCTCGTTTTGTAGTCTAAAAGCTGACTCTGGGTTGCCTGCAACTGCCCATACCTGTCGCTGCATATTACATTGCAAAGGGATTGTTGGGTAAGTGTTGGTTGCAGATAGCTTCAGATGGGCTAATGCAAACACCTCCCAAATCCCAACTGAAGGTGGGCATCTTGCATGCTGATAGGTTGACTTCGACTTCCTGTTTTGTGCTTTGCAATTTGGGTGCCTCCTAGTCAGAACATTACATTTTCAGAAATAGAATTAGAATAGAATAGAGCTGGAAGGGACTTTGGAGATCTTCTAGTTCAGCCCCCTGCTCAAGCAGGAGAACCTATATAATTTCAGACAAGTGACTGTCTAGCCCAGACATGTCAAACTCACGATGTCACGTGGTCTAGCCTCTTCTTAAAAACCTCCAATGATGAAGCACCCACAATTTCTGAAGGCAAGCTGTTCCACTGGTTAATTGTTCTCACTATTAGGAGGTTTCTTCTTAATTCCAGGTTGCTTCTCTCTTTGGTCAGTTTCCAACCATTGTTTCTTGTTCTGCCCTCTGATGCTTTGGAGAATAATTTGACCCGCTCTTCTTTGTGTCAGCCCCTCAAATACTGGAATACTGCTATCATGTCACCCCTATTCTTTTCTTTAGACTAGCCAAACCCAAGGCCTGCAGCCATTCTTCATATGTTTTAGTCTCCAGGCCTTTGATGATTTTAATTGGTCTTCTCTGAACTTTTTCCAAAGTGTCAACATCTTTTTTGTAGTATGGTGACAGAAATTGGTTGCAGTATTCCAGGTGTGGTTTTACTAGTGTTTTATACTAGTGTTTTATAAAGCAGTGCTAATACTTTGTGTGATCTTGATTTGTTTATAGAACCCAGGATTATATTAGATTTTTTGCCTGCTGCTGCATACTACTGGCTCATATTCAAGTGATCATCCACTAGGACTCCAAAGTCCCTCTCACAGTTACTGCTTTTGAGCCAGGTCTCGCTAATCTGTACTTATACCTTTGATTTTTCCTGCCTAAGTGTAAAAACTTGCTTTTCTTCACATTAAAATTCATTTTGTTCGATAGGGCCCATTGTGCTTTTTGAATCCTGAGCTTGTCTTCTGGGGGGTTGGCTATTCCTGCCAGTTTAGTGTCATCTGCAAATTAGATGAGTTATGAAGATATTAAAGAGTATTGGGCCTAAGATGGAGCCTTGTGCCTACTTCTGTCCATGTGGATGTAGTATCATTGAGGACTACTTGTTGAGTATCATTTGTCAGCCAGCTACAAATCCATCTGGTGGTAATGTTGTCTATCCCGCCTTTTTCTAGCTTACTAGGCAGCAGGTTGTGGTCTACTGTGTCAAATGCCTTACTGAAATCTAAGTATACTATGCCCATAGCATTTCATTGGTCTACTAATTTAGTCACTTTAACAAAGAACGAAATAAGATTGGTTTGGCATGATCTGGTTTTAACAAACCTGTGCTGGCTACTGGTTATAACTTTGTTTGCTTCTAGTTGTTTGCAGATCTATTTTTTGA